AAGATTCAGCAGAAATACATTGTTAAGCAAATTTTGCGAGACACTCGGCTTGAAGATCCAGAAACGAGAACTGCTTCCGCTTCGGGGTCTGTTGAAACGCCATTCGAATCGAACACTCCCTTGTTCACTGCAGGTACTCGTATTCCTAATTTGTTTGTTAATACTTGTGCAAATTATTTCTTTTTTTAATTTTTAACTTCAATTGGCCTTTGAAATCAATTTCCGGGTAATTATTTTACTGCTCTAGTTTCATTTTCGCCTGTGATGGTAATCAATCACGTGGGTTTCGATTTCATTGACTGAAGAAGGAAAAAAAAAAAAACTATCTTTCTAATTTCACCAAAATTTAGAACGATTTGATCAAATCCTATAGAATATGATATCTGTGTTGTTTAACTATGTGGGGGCTGCTTCTGGTGCTGTTCTTCTTTTGGCATTTAATGGCACATTTGGTACTCACTAATAGATGGGAGGGAAGAGTATTAAAGAATCTAAAGTATTTTGGCACATGGGGTGCAGTGAATGGTTTGTTTATACAATTTTCAGTTTTTTCCTCTTCCTTGGCTTCTTGGCCTTTATTTTGTTACAAATGGTTTTTATTTTCTGGATGCTAGTTGTGGGTTTTTCTAGCTGTGTCATATGCTGTTTTGTATTGGTGTATTCTTGTGTTTCATTACCTGTGTGGAAACTTGAAGAAATGACTGTTGGTTTCTGCAAATTTTCCAAAAACTTGTTTTTCTTATAGTTCATTTTCCTGCCTTATATAAAGAAATTGATAGCAGTGAGGAAAGAGGATTAAAGTGTTCTTTATGTATATGCGGGCAAACCTGTGAAGTAATGTTGGATTAGTTTCTAGTTGATAGGAAACTTTAGTCGTATTTTCTTCATGTACTATGCCACTTGAAGGCTTGAACTCCATATTTCTTCTCACAACTTACAGAAAATTGGAATTTGCCACGTCCATCTCCTGTAGTTCAGGCCTTCAGTGACTAGTATGATTTATATATTCCCATACTCATGTCCATTGTGTGAGTCCTGAGTCTTGTTGAAAGCTGTGCTCCTCTTAATTGGAGCCATTAGTCATATCTAGTTTGAAGAACATCGACATTCATCTTCTCTGAGCTCTACGCTCCTATGACCAACATTTTCTTACGCATAAATATGCGAACAAACACACA